TAAATAAAGGACAGTCCTTTTCTTTAGGATAAATGCCTGTGTTCTTTCCTCTTCCATTCTGATCCAAAAATAAAAAAAAAAAAGTGTCTTTTTAATATATAAATGCAAATACTTTATTTTGAGCAAAGCAAGGTTACTAAAAATAATCACATTTTATTTGGTGGTACATGACAGGAATTTGAATGTTCCTTGAATCTATTTGACATTGATGATTGGTTTTAAAATTATATTATATTCTAATAATTCAGTGACATAAATCTGATAGCAGCACACTGTTCAAATATGTTTTCCTTTTCAGTGTTTCCTTTTGTGGAGTGACTGGTTAACCTAGAATCAATCTTGTGCATTATAAGCAGTGGAACTAATCCCATGAGGTCTGCGGCTGTAGAGCTATATTTGCAAAGGACACATCCCATTCTAATGTAATTTAGCATGTTGAGGAATACAGACATTGAGAGCGAAAAAGATACTTTTCAAGGGAAACAAATGATCAGTATTTAAGATAAGAAAAAACATGTGGTACCCTTGAGGCTAGTTACCAACAGGATAGAAATATAAGCAAATGAGGTCACTGATGTAGTCTTTCAACTATAAATAGTAAGGTCCAGGTTCTGCTTTCACCCATATTGCATTTAAAGTCAGGAATAGATAATTTGCAAAATAGTATTAGAGTACATGGTTTTAATCTGGACCTACACAGGACACTTTAGGTAAGCAAGTGTAGGAGCTCTACAAAATGTTTTTGATAGTAGGAATAAATCAAATAGAAGTGTTCAAGTTTGGGGATCCTTTGTTACATCTTAAATATATGCTAACAAGGTGAAGAGAAGTTACATCTGTGACTGTGTTTCCTATATGTAAAATCTCATGAACTACTACTTTTTTTTCCTGCTTGCAGTCCAACTTCCAGGAATTTGGACACTGAGAGTACATTTTCTATCTGTGTAAAGTTAGGTCGTTGTAGGCAAACAGGTTGCTCAAATTTGGAATGTTTCTACTTATTTTTTGCTTGCTTTACTCCCTGCATGTTGGCAAAGCTAAGCTTTTAGTACTGGTTTTAGTCATTTATTGAGAATAGAGCTTGTACTGAGAGAAGCTGGATTCTTTTTTCTCAGTGAGTACAATACTGTCATTAACAATTAAGACAAGTCAAAGCTGTAGAATTTTAATTACAGGTGATGATATACAGAGAATGAAGGTGGGTAGGGGTTTTTTTCTGACTGAAAAGTGAGCATGATAGATTGGAAGGTAATTCTTTTTATATAATTGACTTCTGTATATCAAAACAAAGTAATGCAAAAGACTGTTCTAAAATATATAGGGACTACCTATCTTTAACCAAGCTACAGAATTTAATTTTAAAATACCTGTAGATTTCAGAGATCATGGTGTTATATTAGTACACTAAACAATGTCGGGATCTGACCTTGATGCTGGCAGTTGAGCGAAGTTGTCTGCCCCCTTTCATTGCTAGTGTGATCCCTGGAATGGTTTTGCTTTACACCAGCTCAGCCAGGCGTTTCCTCAGGCAGAGACTGGCTGGCCAGAGACTGCTCCCAGCAGAGATCTTGGAAGAGGCAGTGCTGTTCTGCATGGATGCAAGGTGTTGTGTACCAAATGTCTTGAGAATGGGTCCTGGAATTTTTCTGTATTAAAGTCTTCTTCTGTTTCCAGGCCCCCAGCATTATGGGTCTGTATTGATGTAATTTCATCCTGAATCTTCAAACAAGTGAAAGCTATTTTTAGTTTTCAGTTTGAATTATTTTCTAGAATATCCTTTCTTATTTGAAAACTTCCTCTACCCACCAAATAATATCATTCTTCAAAACAAACAATAAAAAAATACATCAATTGTTTTTATTTAAAGTCTTTAATCTTCTTAGCATGTATTTTAGTACTTGAACTATGATTCCCTTTCTTGCTCTTTTATCAATCTTGTTTCTTGCAGTTTTTCACCTGCAGAATGTATGTTATATATTGGGAACATCTCCTTTTCTTGATCAACATTTGTTGTTTTAGGTGGTTTAATTAACTGTCTTTCATCAAACAATACTCTTGTCTGTATTTAAATTGGTACTGTTCTTCTCAAAGTTATAACAATCATTCATCTTGTATTACATAATATCAAAGTAAGAAATTTAATTTCATGAGAAGACAAGGAACTATACTTCCTTAAAAAGTTGATGACATTTAGACAAAAAGGATTTTCAGAATGAAAAACTAGGTTTATGTTCAAGGCTCTCTTTCTTTTTTCAAAATGATTTTGTGTCAAGCAATGAGTAATATTTTGCTGAAGCTTTCTTTGGCTTTTAGTCAAGTACTATAAATGAATTTATTAATGAGAATTATTTTGGGGCAGCAGAAGTGAGTCCATGTTTAAGGTCTTATGGTGATGCATGACACTCTGAGCTTCAAGTGTATGCTGTGTTTCAGTTAGCAGTTCTAACCTAAAAGGTAGTTTGACTTAAAAGAAACAAACAAAACGAAACCACAGCCAGGTCTATGGTGATCAACCATTATGTATGAACCAGTCTACTGCTATTCATAAGATTGCATTCTAGGCTGTCTGAATGAGAAGTCTTCTCCTTAGTATTATGAAAAGAAACATTCTCACAATAGAAGTTGTCAGCTTGATTGCAGAGGTTTACATGAATCACTTAGGTCAATATTTTTTGTTCTGCTTGGTTTTAATAGGTCATAAAAGCAAAATTTATTTTCATGGGAAAGATTAGATTGAGATGTTTAGTAGAAAACTGAGACCCTTTCCCAGCCTGAAGTTAGCACAAATGCAGTGTGCTGCAAAGATGAACATTTCTCTTCCATTTTTCTCACTGGAGCAACAGTGGAACTGTTTTAGAAGGCAAACAGAATTTGTGTCTGAACAGTGAACAACACTGAGTATGAGGTCCATAAGAACCATTACATATTACACAAATAAGAGTACAGAGACTTTATTTAACATCAGCATCATGTGGGTTTTCTATATGTAGCTAACCTCTGGATCTACATTTTGGCAAAAATCAGAGAGTGTGGGAGGAGAACAGCAACAAGGAAGGATAAGAGCTTTGATAGTAAAATTATTCAAGTTTGTTTGGTTCTTGGCAGTAAACTATTTTATGTGTATTAATTAAGAAGGGGCCTACTTTAGGAAGTGATGTTGGAATATATAAAATAGTATTCACATAATTTAACCCTTTTTGTCATTTATTATAGGCAATGTATCTTGTCTGTACTGGAATTTCAAGCTTGTTAATTAGCTTATGTCTTGGAAATATGTCAGCTAATACCTGTAGTCACCCTGCAAAGATCTGTAAGTCTGTCATATAGTATAGTGCAGTCTGGTTAAAGCTAATACATAAGCATATGCTTCATTGTAAGCAGTGATTACACTGGCCCTAGGGAGCCTTTATTTACATGTTTAATTTAGCAGTGTTATGGGTCAGAAACACATTTTTTTGAGAAACAGTGAAAAAGTTACTTGTGGTTTGCATATTTTCTTCCTGTTTCATTTTCAGTAGACGTGGATAACAACTGTGAAAGGAATGAAGAAATAGGACCCATTATGTACTTTCTGTGAAAAACTTCATTAGTGAATCTCAAACCATGGTGTCTTTCATCCATGTGAAGATTAAACCTTCCTAAAACACACAGAAAGTAATAATCAGGGAAGTTACCATAATAACATCAGCCTTAGTCACCACATTATTATTTAATATATTTCAGTTGAAATGTATGCTGTTCTGTATATCATTATCTTGAAAATTCAAAGGAATTAAATATTTTATTTTTAAAGTAGGCATACCAAATAAATGCATGCTACAGGATGATGATAGCTGGAATAAAAATGTCTACATATCTTCTAAGTGCATTAATAACAGGGGAAAGGAGTGTTCTAGCTTAAGGAAGGATACGGTTGTCTTGACATTTGAGCTTCCATTATATAACTGCCAAAGCAGAGTTGGGATGTTTTTTTAAGTGTAGATAATGCATCTTTTATGAATTTACATGATAATATAAATGTAAACCTGGTGTGAAATCATGGTTTATGCAGCAGTGATGGAAATTAAAACTGTAGGTAATGTAACCTGGACAGAGCCTACTTACCTTCAGCAGAGGAGTCAGTGGAAACCTAGATGGGTTATCCAGTTCCAGGTTGTGTGGTGTTAGCAATTCTCTCTGTTTTCCTTTCAGACTGCAGCTATTCTTTGTCACTTTGAAAGGTTTAATCTGAACCAGGGCCACCTGTTTCATGGGTAGAGCTGGAACCTGGTGTTACTGCTTTTTATGCATGGGTTTGCTCCCGATGGATGATTTCTTGCCTCACTGAGCAGTCATCAGGCTGCCCATCAGTATTTCTGCGTCTTGTCTTCAGGGACTCTCCAGCAGAAGCTGTAAACATTTATTTCCTGGAGGTGCATGGTAGCAGAATGACTAGTATATTACAAAATACAGTACCTGATCACAGCAATAACCTTCTCTCAAGGGTTTCTCCTAATGAATATTGAAAATTATTTAATTATTTTTTGGTCTGAATGTGTATTGCTGTCCATACTGCAGACCAAGAGACCAAAGCCATGCAGTAAGCAGAACACTCAAGCTCCTTTCCCTCTACCATGTGCACATCTTCCTCAATTATTCTGTAGGTATCAAAGACTAACTTCAGGTAGGTGAAACTGGGCTCTATAGGCTACCTCTCCAGTTACTATAAAGTCTACAAGGAAGAGTGAGGAGACCATTAGTATATTTCTGGTTTATAACTGCCCATCTTTATTTCCATTCACTACAAAAAGATGTCAATGGACGCTTATCTTTCAAGTTCAAATTTGGTCTTTTTTAGTTTCCCTTTATGTCATCTATTTTGACACTAACTACTGTCAAATCTGAGCCCATCTTAGCAGTATAGAGATTTTAATAAAAATAAGCAAAAATTATTTTAATAATTGTGTTGTGATAATTCATATTCAAGTTCTTTTCAGCTTTGGTTTATTTCATTTTGTCAGCACCAGAACGAAGGGATTCCCTTCTGGGTAGCCCAGATGTCATTGATACTGCTCCAAGAAGAAAGCGACGACAAAGGGCAGCAAAGCCTGCTGGGACAGGAGCTAAGATGGCTACTTATGAGACAGAACTGCCAGCCGAGGAAAAGTAAGCAGTTTTCAAAAGTATTGAAATGTTTTTATATCTACAGATGTCAGAGGGTTTGCGGTTAGGGTTTTTTTGTGTTTTCCTGTGCGGTTTCATATTTCAGACTGAGCACTGTTGTGTTGCATTCTGTGTAGTGATTTACAGTAATTTTGCCCAACTCTGAATAGCTGTGAATGATTAAATTGTCAGGCCCTATCACTTACTGATTTTAATACACCTCTAAAGTGACAATTTCAAAATGTTTTTCTTTGATAGACTTGGATAACTTTAAGCAAATAGTTTAAAGCCTACTAAAACAGTGTTCTGTAGGTCACCGTATAACCCTGCAGACAAAAAAGGATGCATTTATAGCAAGTGTCAAAGTAAGACGGACAACTTCAGCTGTGTCACATTATGAGTGTCTTTTTCCATAGTGAGGGTGGTCAAACACAGGACCAGGTTGCCCAGAGAGGTTGTGGAGTTTCCATCTGTGGAAATGTTAAAAACCCAACTGGACATGGTCCCGGACAACCTGCTCTGGTCGAGGAGGTAGGCTGGGCTAGGCAGTTTCCAGAGGTCCCTTCCAACCTCATCATCCTGTGATTCTGTCTTTGTAATTTCAGTGGAAATTAATTCACATTACCATTTTTAATAGACCAGAATAGATTTACTTTGAAAAGAAGAAAATTATGAGAAAAAAATAACTCACTCTTAAACACACAAGGGAGGTCAGAATTTATAACACTTCATAAAAGTCTTTTTCTTCTTATATCAGTCTTGACTTTTGGAAATATTTTCACATGATCTGGGAGGTGCTTAGTTATGCATAGAATTACCTTGGAGTTACAATATGATTGATGGTATTTTCTTCAAAAACTGATTTTTTTTGTGGTGAGGTAGATTTGAAAATACTTGTTTTCCCTCTTTATCTGTAATAGCCAGTGGTTAATGAGCTCTTTAAACAGACATGGACACAAGCAGACTGCAGAGATGTTTCCCATGATTAGCAAAGATTTCTGCTTAAATCAGCAAGAGAATTGTCTTATTTTAACATAGAAGGCTCTGGCCTGATGCCAGCTATCAATGTTTAAACTTACAATCCTGTTCTATTAGTTAAAAAAATTGTATTTCTTTTAGAATAGGCTACAAAAATGTCAAATTCTGCTCTTCCCTCCTGTTAGAGTCTAGTATATTACACTGAACAATGCCCTTTCCCCATTGTATGTAGTCAGTTTGAGTGTCTGGCTGCGTTTGCCTGAAATACAGTTTCATTCTTTTTAGTATTGATTGTGAAAGGAAGACCTACAGAGACAAATGATTGCAAAGGAGAATATAGAGGCTTTAGGCTGATTAATCCTCAGTGTGTAAATATCTGAGTCCTGTGTGTAGAGGAAGAACTTAGAGGATATTGATATTTTTGTTTTAATCCTTTAAGTAAAGCAAATTAAAAAAAAAACAAAAACAAAACAAACAAACAAAAAAAAAAACAAAAACAAACAAAACAAGACTGAACAACATTATGGTTTTCATACTGTGCAAAGCATTTCTAATATGCATACAGATTCAAGTCAGCTGAATCTGAAGAGCGGCTCTTCTTCTTGTCTATAACATAATTAGTAATATTTTAAGGCTTAACATATGAAATATCCATTCTATCTGTTTTTCTTTTTGCACTGAGTATGTACGAGTTCTATTGTAAACAACAGCTTTGCACTACAGGTCACAACGTTGCTTGGCATGTGACATGCCTTCCAGTACTGTGAAGGTGTATCTAACAATGAAAGATCCATGTTTCTCTATGATCCCTTGGTGATTTCAGAAATCAAATGTGATATTGCTCAATACTGGAATATGTTTTGTAATCCTTTCTTTAGTTAGAAATACAGTGGCAGTGCTAATTCTTAGTTTAGATAAGAAGATACTAGATCTCCCCATTTACCTGGAACATTACAAAAGCCAAACTGTAATCTATTTTTTGCTAATTATTCTTCTGTGTCCCTGCTTAGTTCCTGGGTTTTGAACTTCATCTTAAGTCTTTTGCCAGCTGCTAATCAAGCTTTCAGTCAATTTGCTTCGCTAATTTCACATCTCTTACAGTCTGTCAAAAGTAGGGAGATGTAGAAGTAGTATCACAATCCAGTTCACAAATATAGATGTTACTTTTTATGAAGCCTTTTCAGTAATTTGTACTGACAGAAGGCTAGATCCTACATGGTGCGGAAGGCTTTATCTTAAGCTGATGGTACATTGGTGTCCTGCCCAAAATGTTTTCCAGTATTGTGTCACTTAGCAAAAAATTACTAATCCAAGCAAACCACCCCAGTCTGCTGGGGTGGTGGGGAGGAAGTTAACCTCTGAATTCCTTCACATTTGGAAATGCTCCATCACAAATATGGAAGATGTACAGCCCTTGAAAGCATGTCATGCTTCTCTGTTTGGCAGGAGGATCAAATGACAGATTGTGATCACATTTGCAAATGCACGAATGAATCATTGTTTCTGAACTCTCCTGCACAAACCTGCAGAAAGATTTCATTCTTTACTCATAATGTAAATATTTTAAGGTGCTATCACATAAAATTGTATCCCATATTTCTTGCTTTAACAAACTAAAGCTTATTTAGAATTATTTTCCATTTGCAAGTTTTGCTGACATCATCAGTGCTTGTTTCATGTTTGCCAGGCAATGAAAGGGCAGTTACAAACCAAACATCAAGAGCATAATACTGTCTTTATATTGTTGCATTGTAAGTCGATTGATACAAGATCTTAGATCTGAAGAAAAAATACCTCTTTACTGAAGGAGAGCATCCAAGTGTTTCTTTTCTTTTTGGCTTTCAGGTTGCTTTTTGAAAATGCAGTGTTTTCAACACAGTAATTGTTATCACATAGTAGGAATTATATCTTAACTTTTATATATTTCTCCTAAGATTTTAAAGTATGGTAAGAAAGTACTGTTTATGCTTAAAGTTAAGATCATCTAAAGTAAATATTGAGTCATGAAAAATGAAAGGATTCTATTTCCGCAAATATTTTAGATTTATGGATGTTGAGGCTAGTTCTGTAGCAATTCTCTAGTCCTTTGGAATGAAAATATATTTTAAGATATGAATAAGAATACTGCGAAGAATGCAAATAAAAATCTGTTTAACATAGAAATTAGAGCAAAAGGAGTAATGCCTTCATTGTGCTTTGTGTGTGGGTGCAGTGACAGGAAAAGGAGTGGAATTGTATTTATCTATATAAATATCTAGTATTACTGTGATGATTTATTCAAGGACTAACTCAACATTTTTAATGAAACTCGGAAATATGCTTTGCATATTATTAAGCTTAGTAAAAGTAGTGCAGATATGAGATCAATTCAGAATAATTAGTTGGTCAGTGAACTGCCAAGATTCAGGATTATCCAGCTCTCTAGCAGGTTGTGTTTCAAATCTGAGATATCCAATGAAAGGAAATGCTTCTTTAGGCAGACAGATGTTACTTATAGTTGATAACAGTCAAACTGTGGCTCACAATTTACACATTCTTTAAATGTGACAAAGGATAGTTTCTACAGCTCAAAACATGATTGAATTAAAAAGTCTGACTCCAGTAAACTGTGATGGTATTGGAGAAGCTTTAACTGTAACTTAAAATCTGGCAATTTCCTAAGGTGCAAAGCAGAGATAATATGTAAGTCAAGTTAAGATTCAAATTCTACTTTTCACAATTTGCATTTCATACTTGGAGGAGAAAAATTAATAACAACAATCCCAATCCACAGTTAGAAATTACGTTTATTGATGCATTACCCAAATCTCTCAGGGGACTGCATATGAATAATAAAACTATGCTATGTAGAATATGCATTCGATATAGAGGCTTAAGTGTATAGCCTAGCAGCCTGAATCAGTACTTAATTGGATGTTTCTATAATAATTTCACTTTAAATGTATTGGAACCTATTTAAGAGAAGATAGTACCTACTGAAGATGACAGTTCTTTTTTTGTATAATTTCATAAATTAAATATATTCATTGAATACAGAATACTTTGTGTAGCTTATACAATCTGTAGTCACAGAGTAGAGTGGAACCCAGACAGTGCTGGAGTCTCTGTAACTAAAACAAAGGTGAATCAGGAAAAACCTTCCTTTTCTAGTACAGCTTACAATTATTACTTTGTTTTCACAAGTAAAAATCTGTCTTTCTGCCTTGTTTTATCAAAATTGTTTTTAGTTAAAGAGGTAAGAAAAGCAAAACCATTTTTTCAGTCTGTCTGTTATCCTTACTAATAAAGGATCTAGTTTTATGGTCCTCATTCACACATGTTTTTCCTAGAAGGAAGGCTTTACTGGATAAGTTTCTTTAAGTTATTCTCTATGTTTCAAAATCTAATCCATTCCAGTTGCTGTATAGTGTTTATAATTTCTTTGCTATTGAATGTGTACATACTGTTGAGGATATGTACAATTACAGAAGTGCCTTGGGGGAAAACCTCTTAAATACAGGAAGAATCTTATTATGGATGCAAATGTGCTGGATTCTCCTGAGAGTAAGAGTAGAGACAACCAAAAAATGTTATTACAGAGAAAATGCTTCATAATTCTGAGAAGCAAGTGTTAAGAAATACTTTTCATTCAGTTAACTGAGAGATAACAGGTATTATTTTCTTGCCTTTTCTATAAAGAAATATGTGTTTACGACAAGCGCTGTGACTCTGACTTCTTATTTACCCTGCATGTCAGAAATTTCAGTTTCATATGTATAAGTCTAGTTTTGTACATTTGATGTAGCTGATTTTGATTTTTTTTTAATGGAAATTTGACTTTTGCTGGCTTGATACTTCTTGCTCGATTGATAAAACTGAGTGTCTGTCAGAATCAGGCCTACTTTTAAATTGAAAGAGAGGGATGCTTTTCCTTAACTTCAGTATGTTAGGTTTTGCTGAAATATTGAGATGCGCTCACAGCCCCACTGAATTTGATAGGATCTTTGCCACCAGTAATTTAAATCTTACTTTTTTACATAGGAATG